GACAATAGTTACAAATATATAGAAGCTTTACAACATTATTTGTGCAAAGTATATTAAATAAATGAATCGATACTTAAAATGGATGAATAGTGGAGGAAGATCTAGAGAGCCATCACCCGAACAATTTCTATAAGGCTAATTGTGCTGATAGTCATTACTTTTTTGTCTATCACATTTTCATCCCATTCCTTGCAGAAATTAACATAGTTTAGGTAATTTAATTAGCAACATTTTGAGGGTTATTTTATTTTAAATTAGTTGTTTATCCAACTTTCATGTAATTTGCCAGGCTTGGGCCTACATCTTCGGTTCTAATGTGTAGTTTGTTGATTATTATTTAAAGATTATGTTCCTAGTGAGGATGATGAAATGCACTATTGCTTTGTTTCTCCTTGCAGTGATTTATTTCTTCTTTTGCTTTTATTTGTATAAAGGGATGTAGGAGGAAGATAGCAGGTACAGCAGTTCCTTAAAAATGGAAGGCTGTGACTGCATTGAGCCACAATGGCCCGCTGATGAGCTTTTAGTGAAGTATCAATATATCTCTGATTTCTTTATTGCCCTTGCCTACTTCTCCATTCCACTTGAGCTCATTTATTTCGTGAAGAAGTCTTCATTTTTCCCATATAGATGGGTGCTTATACAGTTTGGTGCCTTCATTGTCCTTTGTGGAGCAACCCACTTGATAAACTTGTGGACATTCACAATGCACTCAAGGACACTGGCTATAGTAATGACTGTAGCAAAAGTTTCGACTGCGGTTGTGTCATGTGCAACAGCCTTGATGCTTGTTCACATAATTCCTGATCTGTTAAGTGTGAAAACAAGGGAGCATTTTCTGAGGAACAAAACAGAAGAACTTGATAGAGAGATGGGTATTATACGCACACAAGAAGAAACAGGGAGGCATGTGAGGATGCTCACTCATGAAATTCGAAGAACACTTGACAGACACAGTATATTGAATACCACTCTTGTCGAACTTGGGAGGATTTTTTTTTTTTTCAGTATTTTAAACATCTTCAAGCTTTAATATGAATCCAGTAATTCTACGACCCCCAACCCCCCCTCCCCAAACGGAAGCTGTAGTGCCTTCTTCCATGACAATTTTTTTCTATCAACCTTGTTGATGTAAGTCAAAGACTGCATTATACACCTCTACTTCACCAAGTCTTTCACTCTAGTTTTAATGTATCATCTTTCTATTTCAATTTCCCATATAATAGAATCATTTCTCACTATATCACCTCTTATTTTGCTATCAATCCATCTAAACATTTTAATGAACTAAAGCATTTTAAGGTGGTTGTAGATCATGTTGTATTGTGTAATTGGCCTATAAATTTTCTTATTAGTTTAAAGGAGGGTTGTTTTGATGTATTAAGAGTTAAAAAGTAAATAAGAAATGTATGGGTTTTAAAATTTTTGGTGTTTGGTTAGAATTAAAGCAAATACAAATTTGTTTTCTTGAGGAATTTTGAATACACCAAATAGGCTATTTTTGGTGTATTATGAGTTTGTCTAAATCGGGCAAATTCAAAATACACAAACTTTCAACCTCATGAACCCCACATACGCTTGAAATATCCTTGTTCTTGGCTAAGTTGTCCCAAGCTCCTTCAACCTCGCCTTTGTCATCTGAAAGGTCGTCGATCTTGGCTTCATTCCCTCCCTCAGATCCATTGCCCTCAACTTTGTCAACCTAGCTTTCGTTGTCCTCAACTCCATCGACCTACCAATGTCGTCCACGACATTATGGACCTCGCCTCTACCGTCCTTAGCTTGGCCTCACCTTTGTTACCCTTAGCTCTGTCACCCTCATCTATGCCAACCTCAAATCTATTGCTCTTGCCTTTGCTAACCATAGCTGCATCATCTACCTTGATTATGGTGTTCTCTTCTCTATTTTGTTCTCCGCCGTTCAAAGGAGTAAGAGGGAGAGAGATTTCTATGTTTTTGAATTACATTGAAACAAATAAAAATATATTTACATTCAATCAAAAATTTTAAATTTAAAATACTAAAACAACAATAACAATAACAACAACAACAACATCAAAACTTTATGCCACTACGTAAAGTCGGCTACATAAATCCGTTTTCTCTATGACGTCATATTAAAAGTTAAATTCTCATTTAAATCTAATACAAAAAGGCCATTTCTAATACTTTCTAACCAAGTCTTTTTTGGTCTACCTCTATCTTTTTTAACATATGATGGGCTGAGAATATCCACGTAGGATTAGTTGGCGGTCTTCTGCTTTGAAAATTAACATTAGCATTCTAGTCTCACTTAGCGTGCATACTGTCACTATCCCAGGTCACTTCCTTCGTTGCTGGTATGTTTCCAACCATGATTTGCCCAGCCCCTGCTGACCTATAATTGATTCACTTTACAACAATCCAAACTCCAAAATGTATTTCAAATACATTGAGTTTGACGTTGCGATTAGAATAGACCTTAATTCTAAATACTTGCAAGAAACTGTCCCGTAAGTCAAGATGTCTTCTTTGTTTTTAGTTATGAGGTTGGCAGTTGCCATTTTAGCCACCAAGATTGCATATGGGTGTGGGATTTTTCTTGGTATGCTATAAGCACAAGGAAATAACAAATTGTAAAAAGGTATGACCCTCCATCTAGGGTTGTAATTGTGCTGTGTGGAGCCAAGATTTGCTCTGCGCATGCTCATTCATTTAATTACCTACTGAACTCAATCTTAAGCATGATCATTTTGACTTTGGTTTGAAGCCAAGCCTTATTTTGAGTTTGGTTTGAAGCCAAACCTTATTAATTATATGTCGTATGATTTAAACATATCATTATTATTAAAATAGTTGCATTCAAAATTAATATAGTTCACTCAATATTATTTCTAAAATTTTTAAAGTTCAAATGTTGTTAACTAATAAAATTAGATTTCTCTCTATTCATATAACTATTTGATCAATATTTTCATCATATTTATATTTCTTAAAAAATACATAAATTTTTAAAGTGCTTATAATACAAGAAAATTTTTGATATACAAGTACGTATATCGTTGCACAGGTTCAAATGCATTTGCTTGCATGCTTTACTTCAATGCTAAAAATATTGTATTAATTTATGTAGTAACGAGTAAGACATTCAAAAGGTTTGTTAGTATTAAAATAACAACCAAGATGATTTGATTGTCTAATAGAAGGGTATGTTGCATTAAATCATAGATTCACAGGGTAAACTTCCAAAATATTCTTGGTCTAAACAGTTTATTGTTCTATATTGACATAAAAAGTTGAACTCATTCTTAAAAGAGTAACAACTTATATTTCGATTGGCTGTATGAATCCTCATTCTTCATTGATTTATGTTGATTGTCAGTTTTTATTCAACTCTTATTACCTGATGTTACTCATATCTAACATTTTTTTCCAATTCTTTGATATTACTTCTATCTATTTTTCATGTTTGTGCAATTTGAGTCCCTCGTTTACACTCCCAACTCACCAAATATAGCAAATTGTTTGATAGGTGCTAGTTTTATTAGTCCTTTAATGAAATCATTTCTCATTCTAGCTTTTTTGGGTTTTACCATATTTCCATCTAAAATTCGCAGATTTGTGGAACACAATTTTTAGTTTAGGCTTATTTGTTGCCCAAAACTAAGTCGAATTTGGAATAACTAGACCGCATTGCTGTTTTTTTAGATTTATGTTCGAGTCTCCATGATGTTGTATTTTTGCATAATGCTTTACCATCGAATATTAATTCTAGAAGTTATGTTCACTGTCTCCCCTGTTTGTGACAATCATTTACAGATATTTACTGACAATCATATCTACCTATTATTTCCCATAAAATCTAACAATGTAGTGTTTAACAATCATCAAAACGGCTTTAGTTTCAATCACCACGATGCATAGGTAACTCCACAAAGTCAAAATACTTTAAATAATATGTTATATAGATAAGTTCAGAAGGATAACATTAGCATTGAAGAACATGCTGACATGTACAAAATAAATATTCTGCCTTCATCACGTGCAAAGTTAAATGAAAATTTGAAGTAACGATAAAGAAGTAGGATAAATTTCAATTAAAGGGAGTAAGAGTTGAGTATAAATCTGAAATCTGGGAGGAATCTCACCAGCTAGGATTGGCTTGTCATGCGTCCAACTTGTGATGCAAATGATTCTGCGATGCATCCTAGGTAAGCCCTAGAGTTTCATTCTGTTTTTTTACAATGAGAAATTTTATCTGAATTGGTAAACAATCACATTTTTTTCTTTTGTTTTTGAAGGTTTTTAGATATTTTGCGGTGTTCTCAAGCTGTATCCTGTTGCAGTTTAATCTTCATTTTTTTAGTAAACTACAATATACTTACAAACTGCAGAACTACAATCACTGCCACATGCTTACTATGGCCGAAGTGGGAGGATTAATTGTGTGATTACGAAGTCCCGTTGTTCTTTTGGTCATTACCTTGATTCCCATTGCCAATTTTATTTTATATCCGAATTTCTTACCGTTTTATGGTGCATAGATGATTATCTGAACATGTATTTTCATCGTCTTTTCATTTCTTAACTTTATTGGGGCATTTGCTATAGTTCGAAAGCAAGAAGTGCTATATTTGTTAAAATCTTCTTGTAAGAATTAGTTTGTCATAAGATTTTTCCCCTGAATATTTTCTTTTGTTAAAATCATATTTGCCAAGCAATTCAAACTTGGGCTTACTAAAACCACGTTTCATAAAAATTAATTATATTTTGCAAAGTATATGACTGAAAAGATGATTATAAGAAAGCTTTAATTATATATATATATATATATATATATAATATAGTATATATATATATATATATGGCGGACTGTTACTTGCTTTAGGGGCTAATTGCCTCCCTTAAAATTTTTTTTTTATTAGAGGGGGTAATAGGTAACTGTGATCCCTTAAATCTCTTATTTTGCCCCCCTGCACTAACCCGCCGAAATCACCAAAAAAACAGTGGAAGAAGTTCGGGCAAGTCGGATTTACGGAAGGCTTTAAGGCTTCGTCGCTTCGAGTTCGGTGATTCGCGCAAGAGGAGGTTCTGGAATCTGAAGATTGGATTTCGCCAAGTTGGTCAACTGCTTGCTTGCGGTCAGAAATTTGTTTGCCTGTCGGGTCCGTCGTGAATCGCAAGGGCCTCCGGCATCAGGAGATCTAGGTCAGTTTTGATTTATGAACACATTGCTTGATTGTTTTGTTTGTTATTTTTTGTTTGATTTATTGTTATTTTATTGGATTTTCATACCGAAATGATGTGTGCTTTGTGGTATTTCATATTTTCATGGAATCATGGTGGCTCTTCATTTTTTTGCTATATCTATATTCTTCTTATTTTCTTTCAATATCTGGTGCAGGCATTGCAGCTGCCATCCCCCATTTTTTCTATGCAAAACCTTTGGCAACTAACTGGTTTTGAATTTCAGTTTATTAGCATTGTAGGAGTCATCCTTCCACTTAAACAGCCATTTACAAAACATAATTGAAAATACTTTAGAAATAATGGATCCTATGCAAAACAGCCATTTAGAAAACCTTTGGCAACTATAACATGAGCAGATGCAATATAGGAATTTGCAAAACTAACTGGCAACGTCCGCTTACTGTTAATAGATTCAATTTAGGAATTTGGTTCATTCGATTATTCTATAACATGAGCAGATGCAATAATGTCAATATATCCATGATTCTTCTATGAATTGACTGAATGCAACTTGAAACATTTAGACAAAATTCTAGAATTGTTGTTATGTTAGAAATGCTAAAAGAGATTCTCCTGAAAATAATTTTAGAATTGTTATTTTGCCATGTTATGATGTAAATATTTTGATTGACGGTCACTCTTCTTTGGTAATAAATTTCATTTTAGGGTTTAGGAAAATGGAGCGTTATTTAAAGAGGAAAGAGCGAATAGAAATTGACATTAACAATCTCCCAGCAGATCCAGGACTCCGACCTCCTATTCTTTTTATTTTCTTTCAATAGATCATAATCGTGTTGATATATTTTATACTGTAGTTGATATGCAACTTCAAGAGCTAAATAATCACTTTTCTGAATCAAGTACTGAGTTACTTCTTTATGTGTCATGCTTAAACCCAAGTGATTCTTTTCATACTTATGATGAGAGGAAATTGATATGTCTAGCAGAGTTATATCCAAGTGATTTTTCTATAATTGAGGTTGTTGCTCTTAAAAGTCAATTATCAACGTACATTATTGATATGCGGACTAGTGAAGAGTTCTCATCTCTAAGAAGCATTGCTGATCTTGCAAAGCAGATTGTTAAGTTCAAGAAGAATGACGTCTATCCTCAAGTTTACAGATTTATTACTTTAGCATTAACTTTACCAGTTGCTACTGCTACAGTTGAGAGAGCATTTTCAGTCATGAAAATTATTAAACATCGATTGCGTAGTAGCATGGGTGATGATTGGCTCAACAATTGCCTTGTGCCTTACATTGAAAAAGATGTGTTTGATTTGATTCCCAATGAAGATGTAATCCAATATTATCAAAAAATGCAAAATAGATTGATAAAATTGTAATAGTTTTCAATTTATCTATCTTATTGGAATACAAGATTTCATTTTGAATTATGTCCTCATTTTATTTTATTTTTTTAATATTTGACTATTAATAAGAAAATTTTGCCCCCCCTAAAATGAAAGGCTGGTTCATAACAAAGTTCCTTCTCTACAACATGGTATCATAGCCAAGGTAATACAACCCATGTTGCCATCCTGTAGTAGCCCTCCCCTCTTGTTCTCTTAAAAAAAAATTATACACCCTTGCCCACTAGCTCATGCACATCTTTGTTGGCTCAATTCGCTTGATCACTTGCTCAACTCACACTACTCAGCTTGTGATTATATCGCTCGTTGTCATGTTATATTGCTTGTTGCCTTGTTAATGCTTGGTCTCTACTTTGCTACCTGTGCCTAGTTTGCACAGTCTTGCTCACTCTATTACTCACATCGCTCCTCCCATTCCCACTAGTTTGAAAAAGTTGTACTCCCTCGGTTTCTGCTTGTTTTCATTGCAACCCACTTTGCCTTCGCTCACAATTGCAACACTACTTAATACGCTAGTCAGTGCATGCCACCATTTTTATAGATCATAATCGCTTTGTCTCATGTGCCTATCTCTTTCCCACTTCAGATTTGTCCTTCCGTGTCTTTCTCACCTCTATGATCTGATTTCTACATAGATACTCCGAGGATCTCTTATTATGGTATCATGGCCTCTCCACCATCTCTTTTGTGTCGAAGCCATCTACTGTTGTCTCAAATTTAATAGTGCCAACTATCTAATGTGGTCTTTTTAGTTTCTTGTTAGTTGACTTGGTTATTATGAGAAACTTTGACATCTTATTGTGTCTTGGAGTCATGATGACACCATCAAATTCTTTAAATGACGATCATTTGAGTACATTAGTCTCACTTGGCTACTCAATGGCCTTGAATCATTTAGTGTATAGTCTATTGCTATCATTTTTCATGGCACTACACGAAAATGCGGGACTTTGTCTATTTTTAGAAAAATATTATTTCCCATGTCTATACTATATATTTTAAAATATTTTCTCATTAATGATATAATTTAGCTCTCGAAGAATATTGCAATGCCTTTGGAAGAAATGGGTTGAACTTCTTTAATGCAAACCCTATACCACTATTTTTACTCTTTGGCAAAAGTGAAATGAGGAATTTTTATTGCCAATTTTCTGTGTGATTCATACTTCCTCTAACTTGTTCAATTATAGATGATGATTGACTCTACCATCATAAACTTTGCCAATGCTCTCTCATGTGCTCTATCGAGCTTTGACTTCCTTAGCCAATGCTTGACCAATTTGCCGCCCTTGCTACAATGCATTATAGTGGTTACAGTTGAGATGATAGGATTGATGGTAGTAGTGGCCATGAGGGCAAAACCTTTTCCCCTTGATCTCATTGTTGCATCATTAATTATCTCTTATAATGGTCTCTTCACTGCGCATCATACCTCTTACTCCTCCCTTACGACTATTATCATTTTCACCCCGAACACTTCTTATGGATTGGTGAATTTTATCTTAGGAGAATTATGACCTTCTCCTTCAACACTCATATATTTTTTTCATTGTCTCACATCATTCTCTTGTTTGGTTTTGCTGCAGTTGATTCTTTTGTAATTATAGGATTTTTTATCCTGATGCATGTTCAGATATATTTAATAAAAAAACAAAACAAAACAAAACTGTCAACCCACGACCCCATGTCATTTTATTCCCATGTTGAAGCAATAGTTGCTTTAGTCATGTAAATAGAACGAAGAAACAAGAAAGACGACGCACATGAATTCAGTTCAAAGTTGGGCTTTCTGACTCTTGTTCCAGGTGTTCCATTTGAGCGATCCCGATCCCATAGCCCAATGCTCAGACCAATTCCTCTCTTGAACGAGCCCGTCGCACCCTCCGCCTGCATACAGACCGAACTAGCGGCTCCGCCTCCTGCCTCTGCATCCGATTCCGGAGCCAGCGACTTCGCCTCCCACCAAGCCGCTTCGCCTGCAGTACCTCCCGGCCACACAAGCCCGACGCTGGTGGCCTCCCTCACTTGCGACCGAACCAGATCCAACCGAACGACGCCCTCACCATTCGTCTCACATGAGCACAACCCACACCCGATTCTCGACCTCAGAAGTACGTCTAACCCACACGTGAAACCTCACCTCCCTTGCTCGATCCCAATCATCATCCATCGTCTGTTTCTTGCAAATGACGGGCTTGCTCGTAGCTTTCTTGAAATAGTGAAGTGAAGAAGAAGGTTTGAAATAGTGAGTGAGGGATCTGTTGTATATTATTATTATTAATACAAATAATAATAATAATAATAATTATAATTAATAAAAATAATAATTAATGATAATAATTATTAATTTTATTATTAATAATAAAAAAGAGGAGCAGGAGACGTCAAAATCACTAATTAGAGGAGATGGAAGATCAATGCCGGGGTTGATATGTTTCCCTCGAAGCCGTTGACCGTTGATTCGATTTGACCTCGACCGGAGCCGAGCAGAACCGTGTATTTTTTAAGTGATATTTGTATGGCGAGGACTTCATATTTGGTGTGGAATTTGTATGCATTACAGACCTAAAGCAACCCAATTCTCTCTTCCTCTCTTTAAATTACTCTCTCCCCACTCCTCTTCATTAAAGTTGTTGGTTCTTTATTTTTCAAAAATACAAGAAATTATGAGAGCTTAAAGTGCCAACTTGGAACCTACATGTAACGCCTTATATTCCCCACCATAATGACTCCATTCCTCCGTTTCTATGCTTTCCCTCTCTTGTGATAAATTCCCATGTAATGGCTTATATAATGGTTGAAGGAATGAAACATTTGGCTAAGTGCTGAAATTCGTATTGATTCTTCATCTTTTTTGGGTGAAGAATGTTTGAGAGTGTGAGCATACCCCTTTGGAGAAGAATTTCCAAGGGAGGGAGTCAATAACGTTAATGGAAAATAACTACTTATGGACGTGCCTATTTCACAAAATGCAAAAAAATATAAAGTTTGCACCTCCTTATGAATCATCAACTAGTAGTTTGTCGTAATGAATCGTTTGTTTTAATAGAAAGTATTGTGAGATTTTCATGTAAACATGGAATTCATTTCATCCTATATCATTAAACCTCTTCGTGTTTCTGTGTTCAGTTCATTTAACAATCGCAATTGTTCAAGTTGCTGCCAAATTATGTAAACATGTAATTTAAGCTCTTTATTTATGAATGACATATTTTCCTCAAATTTATTTTGAAAGCTATGACCCCAATAAAATGGAAGTTTTTTTAATTTTTATTTCATTTACTTCTCACTGTTCATTTGACTTGCATAATTTAGCTATGAGTTCAATTTTTCACCTAATAGCACGTCTGCTCAAGTTGCCTGGCAAGATTATATATTTTTTCTTTTAAGAATTTCTTCTAAGTTCTTTTCTCTGTCGGGATTTCCTAACTTGATTTAATTATTTTGACATCAAAGGTTTTCAAGGAAAAAGTTGAGACTAAATCCTTTTGGCTGTGTATGTAATGTGACAAAAAGATCTACTTTTTTTGTTGAATCAAAATATCCTGAATATCATTTGTGCAACTTTTAATATGATAGGCACAAC